GATAATTCATTTGACAAATTCAGCAATAAAATTGTACAAATTGAGAGTTCTACGCTTTTATTCCCAACTCTCCGCTGGATTAGACCAAAATCGTACTCCACTAACACAATAAAACGTAAAGCCTAACATTATCCCTGTTCTTTCGTGGTTTTTCTCGGTTACCAAACAGAAAGTTTACACATTAGAGTAAAAGAGGATGTACCGCGAGTATCTCGGTATTGTTAGGCTCGGAGGCTAAAGCGTCGTTGATGGTAGCGAGAGAGACTCGTTGCTCTTGCAATTGAAGCTCCAGCAGGTTCTCTAGAACCCTCTCTTCCTCGTTTGCCATGGTTGTGTTCCAAACGCTTACTCTTCTCCGACGTTGAAACCACGTTCGGTATAAAAACTGAAAAGGAACTTGGGCTCCTCAGACAGGCCAATACTACAAATATTCGAAATTGGGTCCAAACAGAGTAATTGTGCTCATTGGGCCTGTTTCGCTGAAACATTAAAATTCAAAAGCCCAAAATATAACTTGGTCTCCGAGTCCTGAGTCAGAAGCCGAAACTGTGAAACTCCTCGAGCTAACTCATGTGGCGAGAGAGAATGGAGTAATGAGTTAAGATTATGGTTAAATACCTTTTTGGTCATTTGGTTTTACATGAAAATTAAATTTGGTCATTGAGAAATTTTTTTAGCAAAATTGGCCACTGTGTTTCCCAAAATTTACAATTTATAGACATTCTATTATTTTCCGTTTACTTCATTTAAGTGCAATTTTTATTTTTATATTTTTACGATTTAGGGTATATTGTGATATTAAGATTTAACAAATTGAGGGAAATCTTGGGTTGAAATCGGAATTGTGAGGTATAGGTCATGGATTGGATGCTATATTTAAGCTTGAATCGATTGAGTGAAAAGTGTATTGTGACTTCAAATGGCAAGGAGACGTAATCAAGGTGATAGAGCACCAAAAATATATTGGAAAATAGTTGATTTTCATTTTAATTTGATTTGCCTTTTTTATTTTCCTTATACCTCACAATTTCAATTTCAACCCAAGATTTCTCTGAATATGTTAACCCCTAAGGTCCTGTTTAGTGGGCTGACTTGGACTGGTTAGGATGGGCTTTGAAGCATTGGATTGGTTTGGCTTAGACTTACTAGGCTTTGAGTCCAACCCTGTTCATTTTTGCACCAAACAACATACTCGAATTAACTTCTTCTCTATTTTTTTTAATAAATCAGATTTTTATTAACAATAATCAAATGCAAAATTCCAATTTTTTGCCTCAGATTTTTTATGCAAAATCCTAAACAAATCAAAAAGAGAACTCATAACATCAATAATTAAACCCAATATCAAACTCATATCAAGATTTTTTTTTTAAATAGAAAAAAAAAATAGAAAATCAAACTCATATCAAGTTTAGAAAAACAGAAAAGAAAAAAAATATATAATTTATTGCTAGTTGTTTTCCTTCTTCGTCTCTGTTTTCTCTAATTCACGCGATTATTGGGCTTTGTTTGATTTTGTTTTCAAAGTGGTTTTATACATAGGTACCAGGTTAGTCAACATGATAGACGACTGAGATTTCTTCAATCTTTAGATTGCTCCGGCGATGCCCAATCTCTCATGCAGTAGCAGGAGAGAGCATACCGCGGAGGCGATGACTCAATGATGGGTCGAAGGTGGTGGAACACAGAGAGACCAGCGAGATTGGACAGATGATACAAGAGAGAGAGAGAGAGAGAGAGAGAGGAATAGAGAAGAAGGCAACAAGATGGATAGGAAGGAGAGAGACGGCGACAGAGGTTTCACTGTAAACCCACATCTGGGGTTGGGTTTCATAACCCTAGTTATTTGGGACTTAGATCCGAAGGCCCATATCCAGTCTGAGATACATTTAAGTCCATCCAACAATGGTTAGGATCCATGTCCATTTTAATTGGAAATATCTCATCCAGTCCAGCCAACCAACACAAGATCTAATAGCACAATATACCCTAAGTACCCGTTTGGCATTGCTTATTTAGGGTGATAAGTGATTTTTTAAAAAATTTTGGGAAGTCCAACCCGTTTGGTAAACTATGAGAAAATCACTTCTTGTTAAAAATTGTTGTGATAGAAAGTTATAAGGGAAAGCAGCTAATGAGGTGCTTCCGTTTTCTGATTATGCAAGAATCAATTTCAAAGAGGCGCTAAGTTTAATGATTATACGGCAATCATTTTCTGATTATGCGGAAATCAGTACCAATAACACTTCTAACAAAAAGTTTACCAAACGTCAAACTACTTTATGTCATAGCTAATTTTTCTCACAGCAAATATGACAATGATTATTTTCACAGCACAACAATGCCAAATTGACCCTAACTCATTGAGTTAGAGGAAGAAATCTGAAGGTTCTTCCTTAAAAATAAAAATAATTAAAAAAAAACACTTAATGAAATGTCTATAAATTATAAACTTTAAAAAACACAGTAACTAATTTAGCTAAATTTTTTCCTAGTGACTTAAAAAGTTTTTAAACCTTAAGATTGTGATATGTCAAGGATTTGATTAACAAAAAAAGTCGAATAAAATCTTAGTACACCCCTTTTTTATAAATAAAAATAAAATATTTCCAATTGGTATGCAATACAATTAAATAAAATTGGCCATCAATACAGTTGAATTGCGCACTCCGAGAAATTAAAATTCAAACCGCGAAGCAAACTCAGTCGGAGAGCTTCAGAGGCGGGTAAATTGTCGAGTTCCATGAACAGACTGAACAGAGAGCAAAAACCCTAGGAGAGAGAAGGTGATTTCTGAAGAAATGGGACACGTAAGCGAGCACCATGAAGCAACGGATGGCTTGGTGAAACTGTTGACGAAGGCGAACCACGATCTCACAGTGGTTCAGCACAGGCTCGAGAGGGAGTTCCAGCAAATCTACCCCGAAAATGCAAACCCGATGAAGCTGGTTTCAAGGATAAAGAAGATTCAAGAAGAATTGTCGACCTTGGAAGATCAATGCCGTGAACTTCTTTCAGCCAAACAGGTCATTTTCTTTTTCTGGCTCTGTATGTGAAATTTGTTTAGTTTGATTCGTTTCAATTTAATTTTAGTAATTTGGGTTTTGTAGGATTTGATTGACCAGGCTAGGACGAGTCTGGTTGGCAACAGAAATCTAGTGCAACGGATGGAGGCGTCGATCGGAATTTCCCCCAACACTGATTCTGAAGATTCTGCTTTTGCTAACTTCAATCAGGTTAGTGACTTTTGGGTACACTTTGCTTGCATTACTATAAATATTGGAGCCAGCATGAAATTGATAATTAGAGTGAAAGTAAGCATCAAAATTTAATGAGTTGGTCACTATATTTTATCTATCCTGGCATGTCTTTATGTAGTCCAAGAAATAAAAGCTGAGAATATTTGGTTTCTCCCTTTGATATGGCAATGAATGTGGCATCAGAATAATCCATGTTTTCAGTATTAATGTTGTTTGTTGTTGTTAGCATACCAATGTGGATGGTTGTCTAGTTTCCAGATGGTGTCTCAAGTGTTTGCACCATCTGCCAGCAAGCAACCAAGATCAAATCTTTGGCTAGGCAATCTTTCCAAATAAATGCCCTTGCAAAGATAATACGTGGGTAGCTTTATTCTTCAGTAAAGCACCACAGCTAGGCCTTGCTACACTGCCAACCTTCGCTTTTGTTACATCTTTAGCTCATTTTCATGTATTTAGAGGGCTTCGGATGCACTGTTATGACCGTGTTGATCTCTGAATGCAGATCATTGATGAGTGGACGGTTCAAGTCAGATCAAAAACAGGTAAATACTGAAATACTATTACTTATACTGTAGGGAGAATATTGATGATGCTGGTCATGTAGGTATAATATATCACTTCTTCATTAGTAATGATGAAAGGGTGTTAAATGTACTAAGCAATCTTATCTGCTTCTTCAAAATAAGAAATGGTAGGAAGTTTCAATGTTTTGCGAGGTTGGTGTTCATATTCGTTCAAAATAAGTAATGATATAAGCAGGGCATGTAGGTCAATTTGAGGCTTCCCATTTTATTTCCTTCATTGGAGCGCAAGGACTATCTCTAATTCCCTAAAGAAATATCTTGACATTCAGCCTTGCTATGAGGACCTAAAAATGTTCGTAGAGAGATTCAAAAACTCTAGAAATTAATGCCTTTTCTCTGTGGTGGCTCCGTTGGGAGCACCCTTGATAACTTACTGGAAAGAATGCATAGCCAGCAATATTTTGATGAAGTTTTACTGGGAAGAATGCATATAGAGTTCTGGAAAAAATCTTGATGTGTTGTTGATGCAGGGGATGAGAAGCACGATTCAGATTCTGAGGATATTAATCAATTACTCTTCTCAGCTATAGTTTAAAGCAACTGAACATCTTTCAAGCTCCAACACTTCTGGGCACCAAGCATTAATTTCAAGCTCCTGATGTGATGTAATCATAGCAGATCAAGTTAATATCGCGGCACTGCCAAAAAGTTTGGAACATTGTCAATCTTGTTGAGTGAGATGATCTGTTCATATGTATATCTGGTTACATTGTGGTGTTGCATTGTATTGGGAGAAAAACCAAGTTCATCCTTTTGTTATAGATTTATGTAGCAGAACAGGTAGAAATGCATGTTGGTTACCCTGCTTTGCCACCTTTTGGTTCACAGAAGTTATCTTGATATTTTTTTTCTGTTCTTTAATATGTTTACTTTTACACGATAACTTGAGACGGCAGGCTATTTGAAGGTAAGGGAAAGCCTCGGGATCTTGATAATATGGAGAATGTGAATCTTACAAGAATAATTTGTGCGTTGTTCATATTTAATTTTTTTTTTCCTTGGCCTGATTTAATATATCATTGACGAAATTTTCATCGATAGAATCGATGAGGTGGTTAATCTACAAGAAATTGAAGCATGAAGAAATTAACAGTTGCTTTTGTGGTGGTTTCATTCAGAGAGCAAAACTTCGTAACCACAGTTCTAACAACAAGAATTCAATAAACCAATGTGGTAATAGAATATTGTGCAGGCAAAGACAATTTATACATTCCAAGAATTAAAATGAATAAGGTATGACTAGTAAAGGGCGATGTTCTGTGTGTGGACTACACAATCTAAAACAATTTATTGTGGATTTAAAGAATATGTAACTATCATAACTTGACCATAGAGGCCCTAAAAGAAACAGAGAAGAATTTGTTACAACATGAACAAGATGTCACTGCATTTTCTACAGCAGCTTTTGATGGTTAAATCTTTCCGACTGCGCAGACGTCTTTCGAGCAAGGCTGCTACTTGGAAATAGGAGGCTGCCCTAACCACTTGGCACGAAAGCCTGTTCCTTTGCAATCAGAGCAACACATTGATCCCTGGAGGAACATGAGATATTGGGGTTTAATCCAAATGCATATTGGAAACTGAGGGATGATAGTAAGTATCACTAACAGGCTCTTGGAAGATTTGACTTACCTTTCCAGTACAAATAACACAACTAGTACCTCTCGAAGGGACTTGGCAAAGCATGTTATCACCGAGCATAAAGAAGCCTGTGCCCCCACACCATTTGCATTCGATATGACCGTTTGAGTCGCAAGATGAACAAGCAACAGGCCTTGGTTGCTGTAAGTAGCATAAACATTGAAGATTTAGAAGACAATAAAAAGGTTGATGCATGTAAAACTCTAACCCACATGCATCAACCATTGACAAAGCAATCTTCCACAAGTATGCAGGCGACTGTCTTTAGCATTCACTAGCAACATAATCCCAGATAAACATCCATCTTTCCATACAATCTCATGTACTTAACTACTTCGGTTCTAATTTGGGACCGCACCTTCTCTACATTTCCTTTCCAGCTATAAATGATTTCCAAGAAATTCACACAACCAAAAGTGTTTTTTTACTTTCTTTTTTATTTTTTGGTTGGGGATGGATGGGGTGTGTGAACAAAACATCACCCCAAATACCCTATTTGAAGAACACAAAATTGACAGACATGTTATCTTCTTGAGTTTGAGTCATAGCAATTGAACAATTTTCAAAACCAATCAGCCAACAGTAGAATTCATCAATCCCAACAGTCTAGCTTTTCACTCATTTATGCTGCGTCTGCTCTCTCATACATAACTATTGAATTTCATTTCAATTTTACTGAAAGAAACCACACCCAATTGATAACAACACAATCGGATATTGAAACTGAAGTTTTGGAAAATATGATTGATGAGAATTACCTTGGATATTAACCAGGCTTTTTCCATGCGATTGACGAAATCAGAAGAGCTCTCATACGAGTCCACAGCTGAAGCGCGCACGCCACGAAACCTTGAACTGAGGGACCTCCCGTTTGTACCGTAAGGTACAACCCCAGCAAAACGATTTAGAGTTCTAGACGGCGACGCAAAGCCCTCGTTGTGAATTGATTTGGCCACAATCGCTGGTCTGCAGCACAAACAGCTCGTCATTTTCTTCTTCTTCTTCAAGTTCGGAAATTTGGAGAGAGAAAAGGAATGAGAAAATAGAAATTGGGTTTTTAATATTTACGTAGCGGTTTAAATTAAATGGTTTTAATACTTTTCTTGTGGCCCAAAGCTGACCAAATTCTCCCTCGTTTTTCAGATGAATACGTCTAGCTGTATTCGGCGATGAGCACTTTCTTCATTGGACTGTGGACTTCGGACCCGGGTCGAAATCAGATTTACGTTGAAGCTGCTGCGCATATATATAGGTCGAAATCATAAGTATTTGAGGACACTTATTAACCTTAATGCCTATAAATGACAAAAAAAAACATAAAGGACGCAATGTGATAGTTTCGCAAACCTCATGTACGTTTTGTGATAATAAGCCTATATATATATATTATTATTTTTTTATAAAAATTTCCAGCTCCTCAAATACTTTGCTTTCAACTTATTTTCGACATATTATTTATTACCAAATACTTTCTTTTACTCCTCCAAGCCATCAAATTATTAAATAATAATGTGTAATTTGATTTTGGATAAAGGCAGGCAATTACCTAGTAATCTTATCCCCAAACACCAAAATAATAATAATGTGTTTTTTTTTTTTGTATAAACGATTGGTGGAGATAGGTTTACACAAATATTCATTGGGTACCTTGGGGTTTCTAATCTCTGCTCACATGAGTATAAGTGGAAGAGCTCAACCAACTAAGCTATATTCCACTGTCATAATAATGTGTTATTTGATTTGGATAAGTAATATGGAATTTTCACTTCAGAAAATGTAAAGTTTGGTTCTTTGAAGGTTTTAGAAGCAAAGGAAAAATAATATGGATAAGGTGACAAGAAATTATATGAAATCTAACACTCTATGCTATATAAACAAATTAAGACAGAGCAAAGAAAACAAGGTTGCTTCACTATTTTTTTCCAAACTCATAACAAAAATCACAATGATATTAATAACCATCAAAATATGTCATAGCCCCATGCAAAATCAAATCGAACTCTAAACACAAATTCTATAGAAAGACACACATAAAAATAAAAATAAAAATAAAAATCATTACCCTTTTATTAACTGGTAGGAAAAAAAAAATTCCTTATCCATGATTGTCATCATAAGCAACCTAATTTTTGTAGTCTTTTTTGTTTGTTTGTTGAATTTTGTGTTTATTAATGGAGCTCTTGGATTCACTTAGCTAAACTTTGTCGTCCTTGTTGTAGCACATGTAAAAGTCAATGGATGTAACTACTCGAACTCTAAACACAAATTCTATAGAAAGACACACATAAAAATAAAAATAAAAATAAAAATAAAAATCATTACCCTTTTATTAACTAGTAGGAAAAAAAAAATTCCTTATCCATGATTGTCATCATAAGCAACCTAATTTTTGTAGTCTTTTTTGTTTGTTTGTTGAATTTTGCGTTTATTAATGGAGCTCTTGGATTCACTTAGCTAAACTTTGTCGTCCTTGTTGTAGCACATGTAAAAGTCAATGGATGTAACAAAAATGCCCCTAAATACTTGGATTTTTGTGGCTTCTTGATTGTATAGCTACTTCATTCTCAATTGTTCCATAAATGGATTGCATATATGCAATCAAGTAAATTATAAGTTATTTACAAGTTATTTCATGACATGAAAAAATACTTCTCAATGTAAAAATGCAAACAAGTTATCATTTGGTGGTTTACTAAACCGCTTGTAGTTTTTTTGGGAGAAACAAAACAAATGTCTCATGAAAAAAGAAGAAAAAGAAACATGTTAATTGTCCAAATCGTGGTTTACTAAATGGCTTACAGTATATAGGAGAAGGAAAGCAAATCTCTCACTAATAACATATGGAAAAACAATAAAATCAACAAAAGAAAGAAAGAAACTTCATGTAAAAAATTGTGTTCTCATTTCCTTGATGTCATGGAGGTTGGTGGATGCCAATCAAGTTTATCTTGATCTTCCTCCGACCATGAAGTTCACTGAATATCTTCAAGTTCGGCGGATGTCTTGATGTTCCGCCGACCATGAAGTTGATCACTTACTTGATGAAGAGTGGTGGGTTAAAGTTGAGTGAGGTGTACACCAACTGACAGGACCCGACCCAAATTCCACTTTGGAATCCGAGCCGGACCCTGTTTGTGTCCGACACCTGGCAAGTGCCGGGCACAAGTGACCTAATTGCCCTTTCTAGTCAACTTTCAACATAAAACTGGGGTTTGATTTCTGCCGAAAAATTAGCAGAGTCTCCCCTGCAATTAGACCAAACCCAAACTTACACCTGTCAGACATGCATATAAAATAATATACACCAACTGCCAGCATACAAAAATTTACATACTAACAGTTAGACAAGTGTTCTAGGGCAATATCAGAGCTCTACACAGATTAGGTTACAAATATAAAATAATTAAACAAAACCCTACTTTGTCAAGGAAGGTGGCGGAAGATGAACTCGGCCCGGTGGTGGCTCATTGTGCACGCTTACTGCCTAGGGGCTCAAAACATTAAAAGGGTGAGTGGACCAAAAACAAAGCGTTAGAAAATAGTATTAGAACATACTAACCCCTCTGTAAAAACAGTTATAAAACTATATCATTTTCTTATTTATACTCGTACTAAAATCAATGCATTTCTATTTATATCTAAGAGCCAATCATACACTTAATCAAACATTAAGTCTTATATAAATATACGTACAGAAATCAATGCAAGCGTGTATATATATATAAACAATCACACACTTGATTAAAACGTTAAATCCTTGAAAGCATTGAAATCAACTTTTAAATCTACCACCTTTCCGTCAATTCCTTATAATCCGTCAATTCCTTTAATTTCCGTCAATTCCTTTATAATCCGTCAATTCCATTCTCGTGCCACCGGAGTGACACGTCCTAGCAGACCTCGGGAAACACAAAGTCAACCCAAGCCGCAATCCTAGCAGAATTCAGGGGACACTTGGTCGGCCTGATTCGCAATCCTAGCAGAATTCAGGGGACACTTGGTCGGCCTGATTCGCAATCCTAGCAGAATTCAGGGGACACTTGGTCGGCCTGATTCGCAATCCTAGCAGAATTCAGGGGACACTTGGTCGGCCTGATTCGCAATCCTAGCAGAATTCAGGGGACACTTGGTCGGCCTGATTCGCAATCCTAGCAGAATTCAGGGGACACTTGGTCGGCCTGATTCGCAATCCTAGCAGAATTCAGGGGACACTTGGTCGGCCTGATTCGCAATCCTAGCAGAATTCAGGGGACACTTGGTCGGCCTGATTCGCAATCCTAGCAGAATTCAGGGGACACTTGGTCGGCCTGATTCGCAATCCTAGCAGAATTCAGGGGACACTTGGTCGGCCTGATTCGCAATCCTAGCAGAATTCAGGGGACACTTGGTCGGCCTGATTCGCAATCCTAGCAGAATTCAGGGGACACTTGGTCGGCCTGATTCGCAATCCTAGCAGAATTCAGGGGACACTTGGTCGGCCTGATTCGCAATCCTAGCAGAATTCAGGGGACACTTGGTCGGCCTGATCCGCATTCCTCACACCCACGGTTTGGGCGTCCCCGAAAATCGTGGGGCGGTGTCTAGCATGCTGACTTACCCGAAGGCAACTGGATGTCCGTCGACATCAATATAACCGAAGGCAACATAATTTTATTCCGAAGGCAACTTTATTTCCGAGGCAACATTTATTATACTGAAGGCAACCTTGGGTACCTATGGTGGCTTAAAATAAATGTATATATATATATATATTCTTGAAAAAGATTAAAGTTTATAAAACTACTTATAAAACTATTCCTTAAATCCTGCTGCCATTTAATCTGATAATACCTCAGTTCTAACTTTCCAAATCCCTTTTTAAATGTTCCACTAGGCAGCACATAAATAAACAGAAATATTTAAATCTATCAAGTCATGCTAGGAAAGCTGTATTCAGTAAAACTTATTCAAGATCAAATAATGAAATTAAAATGCATAAAACGTTTATAAAACAAACAGTCCACTCACAGATACTCTGAGCTAGCTGGACCCTTTGAAGGTCCCTCCTGCGGGTCACCTGGTGCCCGGGTGCCTGTATAACCATCATAATATTTTATTAAAAACTCTGCTCAGTAATATAATATTAAATTAAAAACCCTGACCCCCGGCTCCTAAAAATGCGTGCATCACTTTAAAGGTCATTCCTATGTCCACACTCACTTTCCTCTCAGTGGACACGATTTAAAAGTACCTAGGGACTCAAAAGCGATAAAATCCCCAAAAGTCAACTCGGGACCCCGTGGGGTCCACGACCTCAGAATTCCGATCCGATCGTTCCTAGAGGTTCCAATAGGCCTAGGACACATGTCCCAAGAGTTTGGTCTCGATCGGATGGTCGGATTGCTCACAATTGTACGATCGGACTAATGAATGATTTTCCGTAAACCTAGTCCTAGGGTTGGCTTTTTCGGAGTATCCGGGACTCCGATTGACGATCCGTCGAATCCTACACGATCATTAAAATACCTAGATCAACATCCTCCAGTTTGGCTATGATCCAACGGTCCGAACGTATTGAACCCGAAAAATGCACACTATGCGAGATCCGTTCGGGGTTCAAACGTTATCCGAATTGAGATCCGCGAAAACCTGCGCGCTCGTGAGGACACGAGGATCGTTCTGGGACCAAGAATGGGCCCTGCTACCTGGCCCACGCGCCGGCCGCGCGTGGGTGTGCCTAACAATTTCCGGCGACCGGAAAATCTCTAAACCGCCGGCCCAAACTCCTAGTCTAGGTAAAACACCAAATTTGCAACCACTTTTGTTCTTGGACTAAGGCCAAAAAGTGACCGGAAGTGACTGATTCCGGCATCCTAAGCTCGGCAGAAACTTAACTTGAAAATTAACCTCTTAATCCTCAAAATCTCTCCAATCCTACCCAACCATCAGCTAGAGCATGAGAATCAGTCGAAAAACCATACCTAATTCGTCCGATTTGGTGGCCGGAGGAGGGAGTTTGAGGGATTTGAAAATCGGAGAAAATCTGCCGCGATTTTCTGGTTCTCTCCAGCGATTCGTGGCGGCAGGCGGCGGGGGAGGACGTCGAGCAAGGAGGCTGGGGAGTCGCCAGTCTGATCTGGGCTGGCCGGCGTCGCTGGTGGTGGCTGGGAGGAGGGGTGATGTCGGCTGGAAAACCAGAGGGGGGGGAGATGTCGCGAGGAAGAAGAGAGAGTGAGGAGAGAGAAAGGGAGGGTCTGATTTTAAAATCTGATTTTTTTCCAAAATTTCAATTTTGCCCTTTTTCGTATTTTGATCGTATTATCTTCAATACGACTCGGAATTGAGCCCATTACGTGTCTACGGACTCGTTTTGTCGTGCTCTATGCAATGGTACAAGTGGATTTTCCAAATTCTTTCTCGGTCAAAAAGTCAACTTAAAACCTAATAAATTATTCCGAGGGTAGTTTAGTCTTTTCCTTCATTAAATTAATAGTTAAATAATAATTAAGGTTTGGGTTGTTACACCAACTCACTTAAACTGACACATTCTTCCACTACCATGTCTTTGTGATGTTCATGTAGAGGAACATCAGAGTAAGCACGGTGAGAAGTAGTTAGGTTATGGTGATAAACTGATTCTAGCACCAACTCCATAATGAGGGAAGGAACCTCAAGACCGCAACTTCTAGTTTGTTATAACTTGTAAACTTGAGCCACTACATACCTAAAGTTGTTCTACAACCGTCTATTCAGTTCCAACTTTCTACTTTTTAATCATGTGGAGGAACACCGAAAGAAGCACAGAATAAGCTATATTAATCACTCACGTATGAATGAATTGATTATCATTCATGACTGTATGTTTACGGGCTTCCTCCTTTGACTTTTTCTTTTATATTAGGGGTTGGAGAGAAAAAAATGTTTGAAATTTGTACAAAGTTTGTTAAGTTGTATCTTTTCTACATAATCTTTTTGGGATTAACTTTAAGAGAAAAAAATCAAAAAGAAGAAAATTATCACATTTTCAAAAAATAAAAATAATTGTTGCGTATGAGTAAGTCATATAATGCTTGATTGTTCGATAAATTATTTACTCATCATAAGCATGTACTCATTATCATTCATGGTTAGATGTTTACTCGCTTTCAAAGTCACTTCACCTACACTATCGAACTCATAGAAGATAATATCAAGAAGATCGGCAGGGTGTCTTGATGTTGCGCCGAAGTTCCAAGGTTTAGAAACGTCATGAAGGTCCCCAAATATCATGGGGGTCAGTGGATACTAAATTACTAATCAAGTTCTGCGAATTTCTTGATCTTCCACCGATCAAGAAGTTCGCCGAATATCTTAAAGTTCGGCGGATGTCTTGATATTCCACCGACCATAAAGTTGATCACGTACTTGATAAAGAATGTTGGGTATAAGTTGAGTGAGGTGCACACTAACTAACTTAAACTTTCCTACTAATATGCCTTTATGATGTTTATGTAGAGGAACACCGGAGCAAGCACAATGAAGAGTAGTTAGGTTGTGGTGATAAATTGATTCTAGCACTAACTCAATAAAGGAGGGAAGAAACCTCAAGACCGCATGGACACCAACTTCTAGTTTGTTCTGACTTGTAAACTTGAGTCACTCCATACCTAAAGTTTTTATACTTAATTCAGTTTTAATTCGTACTTTTCACTTTTTTATCATGTGGAGGAACACCTTAGGAAGCACGGTTAGTCACTACCGCAAGAATGAATTGATTATCATTCATGATTATATGTTTACTTGCTTTCAAACCCATTTCATCTACACTTTTGAATTCATATAAGATAATTTAGGTGATAGGGTTGAAAGTTAAAACTAATATCAAGTAAGTCGGCGGATGTCTTGATATTGTAGCAAAGTTCCAAGGTCGGCAGATGTCATGAAGGTCTTGGATCCCTTGGAGTTTGACGGATGTCTTGATGTTCCTCATAAGTTTCCAAGGTTGGCAGATGTCATGAAGATCGGACGATGCCAACCAAGTTCAGCAAATTTCTTGATGTTTCGCCGAAGTTCCAAGATGGGCGGATTCCTTGAAGTTCGTCGAATGTCTTCAAGTTTGGCGGATGTCATGAAGTTGATCACATACTTGATGAAGAGTTGTGGGTTTAAGTTGAGTGAGGTGCACACTAACTCACATAAACTGACATCGTCTCCCACTACCATGTCTTTATAAAACATTTTAGGAAGCAATTATGAATGTAAAAGCTGGATTGTATTATTTGATTAAGAGCTAATTATGACTTACCATTGCTGTATAATGGCCCGCTTAGCATGGTTCACGCACCCCAAACCACATGAAACTATTTCCACAATTAAGCGATTTTCAAGTTCTGACCTGGTTGATGCTTTTTTGGCGACAACCACGAAATTCTAAACCGATTTGGCCCCAATCGCATAGGATTTTATTTTCTCTTCAACTTCTGGAGAAGAATTGATCAAAACAAAAAAAAATATATATAATATAAATAAATAAATAAAGTATGTTTTGTATAGTTGTATTCTTATGGCCCAAAGATATCTCTTTTAAGCTCATTCTTTCATTGGGCTTTGGACTTTGGGGCCAATATAATCCAACACAAACTCTCTCTCTTTTTTCTCTCAAAGAAGCCCATACTTTCTAACCCCAAAAAAAAAAGGGTTTATTTCCTTCTTGACCTCTCTATTCTTCTCTATAATTTTTCATTTTCACTTTTTGGGGTTATTTTTGGACTACTTCTACTAAATTATTTCATTTAGACAAAAACACTTTGCATTTACATTTTTATTTTAATAAGTCAACGGTGGACCGCTCTAGAAAATTACACCTTTAGCAGGAGCCCATAAGGTGTACTAAATTGTAAATTGCTACTAATTTGTTTCCATCCTAGGCCCCCTTTGTTTAGTGGCACTTTATGCGAAGAAAGCTTCGTGGACCTATTGATATATTAGAAAGCTCCAACCTGACAGCTATGAAAAATGCTCCACTCTACCAGTCAATTACCAAAAATAAAAGAAAGTCTATTTACAAATAATAATTTTTCGTTTATTTTGTTTCATATTTTTAAAACCATTTAATACGCTTAAGAAGGAAGATGGTTCGTGATGCTCTCCATATCAAAAAAAAAAAAAAAAAAAA